CCCGACTCATTGACATATTTCTCGAGTGGGAGAAATATGAATGATATGAGTCTGTCCCGTGCGTGCTTGAGCATTATGCTGGCCACGGCTCCACCAAGATGGTTCCTGGTCGCGCGCGCGAATAGAATAAGCCATTCGTTTTCTCAATTCTGCGTGATTTATTTGAAAGGAAAGGAACAGGAAAAAAAATAATCCATCGTAACGAGTTTATTCGATTGAAAATCGTTGAACACGATGATTGTCAGAATCGACGACATAGAGATTGCCATGACGATCGAAGGACAAACCAACGGGATAGCTGAACTGATTTGCTCCTTCTCCTTTACCATTTCCACCCACAATGACAGTGCCCTCTTTCGCTCCTTTAGGCCAACGCATCACTCGATTATTCGACGAGTCTGCCACATAGATGGTACCCAATGTATCGACAAACAGTCCTTGAGGATGCGACAATTGTGTCAGAGCATTCCCTTGACCCCCAGCGACAACAATTCCTTCTTTTGCATCTTTATTCCATTTCACCACACGATGATTGTTGTTGTCTGACACGTAGACAGTCTGTTGTTGATCGACAAAGATGTAGGTCGGCCCGTTGAGTTGATTGAGATCGGCGCCTTTACCATTGCCACCAGCCACTAGAGTTCCATTCTTGTCTTCTATTTGATATCGTCTTACTTCATGTTTTTCGATGTCAGAGATGTAGAGATATCTCTGATCAACCATGGCCAATTTCCAACACGAGATGTTGTCGATGAGGATTTCTCCTTGAGTTGTACCACTACGACGAGACCATCGAACGACTCGTCGATTCCCTTCATCACAAATAATGAGACTATCCGTCTCTTTGTCAATCAACACATCCGATGGTCGATATAATTGATTCAATCGATTTCCTCTGCCATTGCCACCAGCTACTACTTGTCCATTCGTTTCACCCATCTTCCATTGGATGATGCGATGATTGTAGTAGTCAGCAGTGACCATCGTTTGATCATCATCAACGAAGAGACCACAAGGACCCGAGAGTTGATTGGTGGCACCGCCTTCTCTATTGCCTCCAGCAACAGTCACTCCATTCTGTTTCCATCGGGCATTAACTGGAATATCGGGAATTACTACAATGAACGAGAAAAAGAAACGGAATCGTCGTTGTCGAAGAGATCCCATCTTTCGTGGGAGCAAGCGCTACAAATATGACATTCGTCTTTGAGAATGCTCATTCCACAGATAAAAATTCAGAAGTCTTTCCCTAATTCCGTTTAGAAAAGAAGAATTTCATAACGATTCTTACATTTATGTCACTTAGTTTTTGCCAAGTTCTTTTTGATCCTAAAAACGACACCTGGAGATTGCTGTAAGGATATTTTTCCGAGAAAGAGTAATGCTAATTCCGTGTTTATTTATATGAGCATCAGACAACAATTTAAGTAATAAAATAATGAAATGGGGAGGCCCAGTCTGGCCGGGTGACCCAAAGGGTTTCTTTTCATTGTACTGTTTCTATATATGATTTGTTTACCAGTTATAGTACTCGTATAGTACTAACGACCCGTCAAGCACAAGAGGTCTATATCATGTTCAAAGTCAAAATGGTCAAGTGTCTTCAGAAAGTCTTTTCATATGTCTTCAGAAAGTCGTTTCATATTATGAAAAGACTTGCTGAAGACACTTGACCATTTTGACTTTGAACATGATATAGACCTCTTGTGCTTGACGGGTCGTCAGTACTATACGAGTACTATAACTGGTAAAAAAATCATATATAGAAACAGTACAATGAAAAAAAACCCATTGGGTCACTCGACCAGACTGGGCATCCCCAAATATGTGAAACTTCTAAACTGAGAAAATCCTGAGAAGATATAATTTCTGTTTTTGGAGAATCTTAAGGATTCAATATGCATCTTTGAGGATACTTTATACGTGATAGGAGAAAATTTCTGATCACATCATGTTATCGATGATTAATAGAGATCTTCCAAAGGGTATCCTATATATTCGTATTGAGGATACCCGTGAGATTTCAGTAGATATTAGCGAACGTGTATCAAGCTGTTCGAGTGGCGATTCTGATACACTCTTGCCTAGATTCTATTGTTGGATTAACGCGCATGCGAAACTGGCAATGTAGGTATTTATATTGTCCATGAGAAAAATAAGATATAATCGGATTAAGGGGACACTCTCAAAATCGATGTCCCACTTAACAAGGTCTGTTCGAGCTAGAATTTTCAGGAATGAGTGGCCTTAGTGAGAAACGTCTCTGGTAAAAGTTTCAGCTGCATACGTCCAACTAGAGCGAAGTCTCTAAGGCTCTGCTATTATGAGAGGTATAGAACTTGGAGTCGTTTCCAATTAAAGTCAATAGCAATAGTCAATTTTTGTCCGAACAGAATTTTTAAATTTGCCTCTGTTCGTGTAATATGAATATTTTGGTGGACTTATAGTCAAAAAAATAGGCTAAAAATGCCCATTCTCACGATAATAAAAAAAAATATCGGTTCTGCCTTGAAGCCCGTGAGATGAGTTTCAATTTTTCTTACTAAAAAACGTGTTTTGAGAAAAACGATAAATAAGTTTAGAAATCAGTTTTTTTTATTTAAACTCGATAAAACTAGATAAAAACTGATGAAAATGACCTATCTACGGTATTTTTAGGCAGAATCTTTCCGATTATATAAAGAGTGAAATCAACTAACATCTTTTTCGAGAAAGGAGATGTGCCAAATTATGGACATAGCATCTTGAATAATTTCAGTCTAATTTTATTATCCTGAGAATCAGCATTCTTCTCTGATTATTTTTTAAAGTTTATTTTGCATATTATCACAACTCAATTTTTTGACTCCTGATGTGTGGGTGTGGATGTTCGCAAAGAAAATTGCCACACCCACATCCTAAAGCAAAATTGAAAATAAGAACAATAATATCGAATTGATATAATATAACTTACAAATTCTCTCGTAGAATTTCTTAACCTATATGATATATATTTAGTTTGTCTTTCTATGATTTTTTAAATGACATTCGAATCTACTACTATCATAATAGTATAATAGTAAATAATTTTCGAATGAATTCTGTTTCTAAATAATTTCTAATATCGAAAAAACCAAATATCATTTTTTCTCGCTAGAAATTCTAGAAATTATGAAAATAGTCTATGAGCGGATATTTATTTAGTCAAGTTTATTAATTTGAAGCAAAAAAATTCTCAAAAATGACCTCAAGTAAAAAAAAGAGATGTTCTCAGATTTTTAAAAATGTTTATAAGATATGCAAGTCACTCAGTATAGGCAGAATTCGTCCAATGAAATTTAAGATTATACATAGTGCTTTTGTCTCTAACAACTAGTCAAATACTTAACATACTTCTTGGTATAGTGGGCTGACATTTTTATCCATGATTATCAAAACTTACTTTAGTGTATTTACAGCTGACTATAAGAAAAAAATCTAAACTTCCAAGAGTCATGAAAAATGAATATTGCAGTTTTATCAATAAATTCTTGCTCTTTATAACTAAAACTCTGAGAGTATACTGAGGAACAAGACGTTTTTCTGTGGTATAAGTACGAACGAAGCGATACTAGTGTGAATTAATCGAAAAAATAATATATCGCTTATTGCCTGCTATGGTAATGAACCTATTATTATTGATACCTCACGTAAGGTCAAAATTCATTGTTAAAGTCAGTTGTAAATACTTCAAAACAATTGTTGACAATATTTCTTTTATGAATATGACCTATGAATACTATTTTACTAATAAGACTTTCATAAAAAAATAATAATATTATGGATTGATGCAGTTCTTAAAACGCTCTACACATTACAAAAGACAAAGCAAAAATAAAATGAAGATATCGAATGAAGTAGATTTGAGATTTAGCTTCTTTTTTTATATTGATAAAGTGATACTCATGATGTTTGAGCAATATTCATCAGTTTGCGATTGAGCTCAAGAAAATTTTGATTAAATCTAATACAAGAGTTTACAGAAATTTTATCATAATTTATAGCCCATGTTTCAATGTCGTTTTATTTTTTGAAGTTTATAGTTTAAGAGTCTGCGAGAACTTTACAACATTATAATTGTGAGTGTAGAGTATGAACATCGTCTTTTAATTTACATAGATTAATAGCGACATTTACATCTTAACTTGAAATTATATTCTCATAACGTAAAAGAAATGAAAGCAATCAAAGATTGGACATTTTCTCTCTTGTATTGAAGATAGACAGAACCAAACTATTCATACTGTACTGTATTACTTCTAAGAAGGAAATTGTCATTACCAAGTCACGCTGAGAAATCAATCAAAAATTCAGATCCTTCAATCCAGACGACATTTAATCAGATTGACCAATTTTATAGTTACTATAACTAATCTGCTCACTAAAATAGAAACTAAAGACAGTTGATACGTCAAAAAAAACTATCCGACTTACACTCTTGAAATTGTTAATTATAGAAGAAATTATTAGCTGAAGTAATTATTTATAATCACATTCCAACAAAGTAAATATTCATGAACGAATTTGAATACAGCAGTAAAATCGAAAAAGAAGAAAAAATTCCTTGAAAAATTCACATCTACATTTAACTTCATTGTTAGACAATGCCTTATAGCTCGACTTGATTTACTTAAATCTATACTAATTGTTTTTAAAACATGTTCTTTTTCTTAAATTATTATATCTAATTTAAAAATTAACTTTTTTAAAATATTTAATTCAAAAACAAATATACATGGAATATTTAGAATTGCTTTTTAGGTAGGTTTTGATTTTGAAATTAATGAATGAATCTTTTTTATTCTTAGAATATTTATCACAGTTATTAGTGAATTCTCATGAATACAAATCGCATTAAAAAAACTATTTTTTATAAAAAAAAAAAAGAAATTTTCAAAATTGGAAATATTTCAAACACTTGACATTATTTTTTTCTATAAAATTAAAATGCATCAAAATATATTGAAACTTAAGAATAAAGGAAAGTCATGTAATGAAAGGAAACAAATGAATCAAAAAATGGCTTTAATGGACATGTCTGTCTTGTCTCCTCTCATTTTCTACTATGTTCTGCATACTGTCAACTTCTTCAGTGAATAGAAATTTTTTTTTTGAAAATCTTATTGAAAATTGGTTGTGATTTGATTCGCTAATTGTAAATCCTCAATTATAAGAAAGTTGTCAAATTGATAGCGGAGCATAATGAAAGAAAAGTCTACGAAGTAATGTGGATAATCTTCTAAATAAATACGTAAATAAATATCGTTTGTATTGATTTTTTATCATGAATCACTAAGTGACTGTAATTAGAGATGAATTTAACATATTTATTCGATTTCTTGAGTATAATGATCAAAGTGGTATGTTTGTTTGTGATAACACTTCTTTTTTATGAGAAATAGATGAAGATGTTTTCATTATGCTATAAAATGATGTTAAATGTTTTCTTAGTTCGATATGGGTGAACCTTTTTTTACTCGCACCTGCAACCAGTGTCTGAAAATTCAAAAAGTTTAGTTTAAGAACCTACAAGCAATAATGTGCATGTGTGTGAAAGGTTGAGACTTGCAATCAAAAGGATTCTCTTAACTCTCATCTGTATTTCGTCGAACCTTTTTACGAAGAAAGATTTCAGTAAGTCCGACACAATATAATTAATGGAATTAAAATGATCCAAGACAATATCATTTGGCAAAAATTGGGTGTGGATGTAAAGGAAGAGAAAACACACATCCACACCCACAAAATTGTCTTTCAGCAATATTCATTTATTTGTTTTTTTTTCTCGAAGAGTTTTATAATTTATCTATCTAATTCTTAGATGAAGATGTATTATTGTTCTTCACGTTTCTAAAAATATAATTGTTCATTATCTTGAAAAAGACATGCATCTACTTCATGATCAGTCTTCGTTTATTTTAAACAAATATGTTACATTATTATATAATAACTAGCGGAAGTACCCGGCGTTTCCCTGGAAAGTTCAATCTTAATATATGCAAGCAAAACACCTATTGCGCTCGAGAACATGTAAGAAAACCTAATCAGTGGAGAATAGACACGCATAAAGTCCTATTTTTTGTCCCGGTCCTAATGCTGGCTCTTGGACGTATTTTAAGTCTCAATCCGGGCTTCTCTCACTCTCGGTG